GGGCGCAAAACAAAACAAGTCTCTGCTCACTACTCAACTGCTGCAAGCTTGAACTAGGGTTTTCTTCAAGGGTTGATAATATGGTCGCTTTTAAGGACAAGGGGGCTAACCCAAATTTCGGGTTTTTTCAGAAATCTTAATCTACTCCAAAAGTGGGTATTGCCCTACCTATAGGAGAAGTTTAGTTTCATTGGTGTGTATATCGCATATTATTTGCTTAGTTTATAGAGAAAACTCTCCTTGTCTTTTAAAGAAACTGAAGAAGGCTCCAAAAACTTTAACTTCGATTTTCTCACAACAGTATATTTCGGTATAGCCCCCTTGTGCTTAAAAGCGACCATATCATAATAGAAATTGTTGAAGTGTAGACTCATCGTTGACAGTAAATTAATTCCACCCAAGACGCCTTCATTTAAGAGCTAGAGGGACACAGAGAGCTGTGTTACGACAACAATGCTACACAAATAAGGAACAGTTTTAAAAAAAACGGGTGTGAGTATACGGCACTTTCAATCCAAGTTGGTCAAACCAAACAAGTGCCGAAATGCAACAAGAACTATACAAAGAAAAGAAGATGTTTGATAGGAAAGAAGGAAAACAGAAAGAGCACCCACAGCCACGACCCACTAAAAGGAGCAGACTATAAGCTAAAACGAAATTAGATTGACAGATGGACAGATGGACAAACACCCGCACAGTGAACAGGCTATAGATGGAACGATTAGGCTCTTTGCCGCTGAAAGTGGACGAAGTGTTTAGTTTTAGTAAGAGTTTTACGGTACTTGCAACACAATAAGGTAACATAAGTGCCGAAAAATTAGAGGTGCTACAAGAGAGTAAAAAACACAAAAAGAAGGAGAGATAAGGACGATAGATGTTTGATAGAAACGAAGAAGCAAACCACACCAGAGCACCCACCAACCACCCACTGAAGAAGTGTGTTCAATTTTCGAGAGATGTTTGTTTTGGTAAATGTTTTACGGCGCTCGCAACTGCATAAGGAAATATGAGCGCGTGGGACACACCTAATATTTTCAGTTGGTAGGAAATTTTGAATTTTGCCTGGGTGGCGGCCGAAGCCTACT